TAACAAATTCCTTAGAGTGATGAGGCAAGAGGATCTGTTATTCAATCACACAAAACTCTCCTGAAACCTTTCTTTGGTCGTTCTTTGGTGCATGTGCTACATTGAACCAACCTCTGCAAGTCCCTCCTTAATTTAAAAAGCACTTAACAATATAATCGACCAAACCACTATGGATGGGTCGCTTCTGAAGTCCCTTTCAGCATTAATCCTGAAGCAATTCCAACTTCTGTTTTCATTTGAGTTCCAACATCATTGTACTTATTCCAACTTTCCCAGAAATTTTTCTTATTCAATTGATGGCACCTGCATGCATCCACGAGAACAATGGATTTCGTGTAGCTTTTGGCATCAATTTTTCAATTCATGCAAATTCATGGCAGGGAGCTTCTCTCATGCCATATGGAAATAACTCATTTCCAATACACTCTTAGGACTGATTTCAAACCAATTTGTTCATGTAACACCATCTAGGATAGATTATTACGAAATTATTACCAAATTATTACCATTAATTACCAAAGCACGTCATGGCATTAGTTACCTTGTATGAATTTGAATCTTAGCTTATTATCTGAAATTGAGAGGTCAATTACATATGCTCAAAGAAATATAATAAGCTTGGCATGGAATACATCATCGTGTTTCACGGGTTATCGATGAGTACTGAAAGTTGTTGGCTGGCTCTTGAGCAAGCAAATAAACATTTACAAAAAATCATACGTACGATTAACTAGCGTGCTTACATTCTAGTTTGAAAGGAAAAATATATCCGCGATTTAGATCGGCGATCAAACGATCGAACGGCTCGCGAACGACAACATAAACATGCTGACGCCACGCACGCGCAGACGTTTGTTGCTAGCGCTTATAAAATTTCATGGTACAGCGGCAGAGCGCTGGACTAGTAATCTTAATATCAGAGTTCGAACTCCAGCGGTTGCATCCATCCAATACCACATTCCTTTTTTTTTCCTTTTTGTTTTCCTTTTGTTTTTCTTTTTTTTTTTTAAAATTCTCCTTCTTAGATTTTAATGCTCTTACCTTATTTTCTTTCTCCTTAGACACTTCTATACCTCATGTAAGATCTTTTGGACGAGAGTCGAGATTTCAGCTGTAGTATGTATCAATCGATCGATGATCTACTTTGTTGCTTTGAAAAATATCTTTCTTTTGCTTTCAAGTAGTCTGCTTTTCTGCTTTGTGGAAACACACTCACTAGCTACTTATCTCTTTTATACTTAACTCTTTCAGAGTACCGATATCAACCTTACTGATCATAGTAATCTCATTTTTATATTTGCATATTGGAAAATTCATTCGCGAGCACCCCATACCCCTTCTCGCATATACTGAACTCTATACAAGTCTAAAAGCAACTCGCCTCTCAAACACGACACTTAAAACCCCCACTCTACAAACCTCAAAACTCCCTTTGCCATGCTTATTTATTTGCGCATTCGACATAGAGAGTTGCTTTTACACTCTCCACCTGGCCCCCGTATTCTATCACTCCATTCTTTGAATGATACATAAGTCTTACGGACTTCCAGGCTTCATGATGCCCTTCCGTCACCAGGCGGCCCTCAACCCTAACCAAAACAACATCACTCCACCGTTTATTGCTTTAAAGCCGCCCGCAAATTACTAAAAATTCACTTCAGTTCACTTCACTACACTTTAGCGCGCAAATTTTGCGTCACAATGCCTGCATACGCGTCACCACCTACATACGGGTCGCTACAACAAATTTATTCATTGCCTCGCCGATCGCCACGCTACTGTAATTGTAAGTGTCTATCCACAGGCCCGAGTGCTATAGAATCCTAAAGTGCTTACGTCACGTTTCCATAGCACCGGAATTCTATGGTCTAAACAAATCAATATGGCGTCCCTAGCGTGACACATTGTCGTTGACCTCGAGCACTTCAAGAGCTATAATAGCGCATTTTATCCTCCAATAATAGAAATAAGATAAAGTGAATCAAGATAACCTTCGGCCTTACTATTGAAGAGTATAATAAGCGGACAAAAGCACCTGGTGAGCAATAATTCGAGTCAAAACGCCACGGAGACGAAGTTTGCGATGGGCCAGTGTTTTCATCCAGATTGCAATCACACATCTGAAAGCCACTGCTGCCGATTCTTTTCGTTTCCAGACCAGAAAAAACATAAAACACTCTATGATAAGTGGATATCATTTGTAAGGTGAGTATTTTTCGAAAAATATATATTTCGATGCTGTACCATCGATTAGAAATAGCTGTTTTTTTTTTTATCTCAAACTGATTCACGATTAGCTGTTTCTCTTTCTTGTCTTATTT